TGAGGAGAGGAGCCTTTTTTTTTGTCTCTGGCGTATTGGTTCGAAAAAAAAAATGGATAAGAGAGCTGAAGGAAGGAGAAACGACAAAGCGTTAGGAAAGAAAAAAAAAAAATCAATGAAACAAAAATAAAAATAAAAATAATAATAATAATAATAATAATAATAATAAATAATAATATATAAAAAATAATAATAAAAAAATGATGATCCAAAACATTTTGGAGGAAAGAGAAATATGGTCAAACACGAAGTGAGGAGAACTATGTTAGAGAAAACAATAATAGAGGTCTCTTCTAAAGAATAAATGAAATAAATAGGTAAATGGATAAATAAATAAATAATAAAAATGATGTACTAATGGTAGTATCTTTACCCAGTCAGAGATGTGGTCAATAAGGATATTGGGCCCCCATGAAGAGGGATGATTGTGACAACTATCAATTTTTTGAGGCACAAGATCAAGAAATGATAAGTTGTGCAGTCTCACATCGCCTGGGGATGAAGCCCAAAAGTAAAAGACCGTGCGGGCTCAGGTCCAAAGCGGACAATATCATACCAGGTGGGGGTGCGGGTCGTTACACTATGAAAAGTGATTGATGGGATGTGCGCAGCAATAGGCGAGCAGTGTGGAGAATGGGAAATGGATACAGCTCGCATTTTAAGTCCACAATATGTTTTGTTATATTAAGACCTTTTAATTATATGTATGCAGTATGATTTTAAGAAAATTGAGACTTCTTATATAATTTAAAAACTAATATATGTTAATTAATTTTAAAGTAAAGTCTATTTTCCTTTGTTATATATGATGTATAAAAACAATCTGCATATTCAGTTTAATTAATTAATGTATTTTAAGCATTTACATGAATAAGTTTATGTGACGACTACTTAGTTAAGGTTGTCACATTATCATCATCGAATTATAACTATCTCATTTCAAGAAAACTCACAACTCTAGACCTAGAAGGAGAGGTCCAGAGTTGTGTTTATTTATACTTATATAGGCACTCTCATAAACGTTATAGGATGGTCCCGTACCATGCATGCTGAGCGCAACTAGTATGTTTTGTTTTTTTTGTTAAAAAAAAATCTACATGTTAATTTGTTGAAAAAAAGAAATTTATGGTAAAGTATTGAAAAAGATGTTGGAAAAAATGGCTTATTAAGCCATTTTAAAGGCCCATTTTGAGGCCCATGTTTGAAAGGGGCCCAATAGGTTTTGAGACGGGTCTCGATGGATTTGCGTTCTTCGTCACGAGGAGATCGAAATCAAGTATTCATACACTCAAAATGGATTTTGGGTGAATGAGAAATTGATGGTCTAAGTATGGTACTTGGAATGGCATATGTAGAAGGAAAATTGCAAAAGTCCCACATTGGCTAGGAGTGAAGCCAATGTGATGTTTATAAGTGATTGCACTTTAAAACTTAAGTAAGCATGTATACCAAAGATGCTCTCTCACGCGCAGGGGGGGTGCGAATCACGGGCCCGGCGGGTTTGGAGCCTAATGTGTGCGCCTGCGGACACGAATGCCGGACCGAAAAACCCGCTCCGTGCGAGCTTACTTTTGCGATTTTATTTTTGCTCTAGCCAAGACCTTCCAGCTTCCGTTTGGCATAAAACAATGATGGTTAAAGACCATAATGAGACCTTAATGGTGATCAATGGAGGCAAAACCGAATCAAGCTTTCATGGCTTCGGTTTTCCATCATCAAAAGCTGAATTACTAGCCAGAATGTGGCCAGATTCACCATGGAAAATCAAAAAACGTTTTGGCTGTTTTTAATCACCATTATTCCGGGAATAAATCTGGGTTATTACACCATAATGTCTTGGTGTAACACCCAGATTTTGGAGCCTATATAAAGGCCAAAACTCCACATGATAGGTACACACTTTCTCACAATTCTCTTCTCTTTTTCGGTTCTCTCTCTGTCTTGGTTTGTTCCGGATTTCTTTAAGCAGTTCTTGTAGTTCGGTTTTGGTGATAGAGGGAAGATCAAGTTCTAGTTCGCCGGACGGTTCCGAAAGTGCATCGAGCTGCCGTCGTTGTCGTTGTATCCTGGGAGACGGACGTCCAACGTAACCTCAAACACATGCCGGAGGGGACGAATCTGTTTTAAGGACAACGTGGTTCACGTGCCTCGACATTCATACAATTCCGTTTTCCGAATTCCATAGAAAGGTTGATTTCGGGTTGTAACAATTTTCATTATTTTGTTATTCCTTTATTTCCTTGTTCTTCTTTGTATTTTCTATTATATTGTCTAACAAAAGAAAAACTCTATTTGACATGATACATTTTACTCATACCTATTGGAAGATTGAAAAGAAGAGAAATGTTAATAAATTTTTTTAAAAGTGCATATGTCTTAATTTTTACTCTTTATTCTTTGACTAATGCAATTTTTAGTCAAATAATTATATTAATAAAATAATTTTAATTAAAAGTAAGAGATAAAAATATAAAGACATGCACTTTAAAAGGTAAGTTTAACAACTTTCTTTTAAAAAAGAATATATAATAATTTAATGAAACTCAGTTAGTTAAACAATATTGTATCCATAGTTTGTGTTTGTGTTGGATTTTGTTTTACGTACGTAGGACTGTTTATTAAGGAGAGTACAAGTGCAAGGGACCAGGAGCGAGCATGTCGGGTCGTGTCAAGTATGAGAGGATACTGAGTGATGAAGAGGTGAAGCCCTTCATGAGCATGACTCACATTCAAGGCAGCAAGCGGCTACTTCGACCTCCCGAGCTCCATTATAATTAGCTATCAACTAATTACGTTCTCTTAACATACGTTTAATTTGTCTAAACTCTAAACGTTCGAATTTTTTTATTTTTTTTTAGTTTTTTGGCTGGGATTTATATTTATGTAGTTAGCAATAAATTAAAAGCACTTAATATATATATATATATATATATATATATATATATGTGTGTGTGTGTACGCGCGCGCCGCTTTTTCTTGCTACATGATTCGTGGTTCGTTAGGATATTTTTTCTCACAAAAAATACACGTAAATTAAAAATGATTCTGAATTATAATTTTAAATTTATGAACTAAACTTTCACAAAGAGATTCTATTCTATGCACCGGTTTGATGATTAGTTGGAAGGCAATATTGATCTAATGCAACTCATTCGTGATGAAAATAATAATAATAATATTAATACTAAAAATAATATAAAAAAAAAACAAAAGGATCTGAGGCGTCGTTTTACTAAGTTCATATCTTTCCATTTATTTTGTTTATAAAAAAAAATAAAAAAAAATAAAAAAAAATAAAAAAACAGAGAGAGAGGATGGGAGTGATAGTGACCTAGGGGTCATGGACTACTCTCGACTCTCAAGCTCTTTGTTTAATGGGGAAGGACATAAATACTCTTTAAAAGTATATGTGTATGAATTTTTATTCTTTATTTTTATTCTTGATTAATATATATTTTAATTAAATAATTATATTAGTAAAAGAATATTAACTAAAAGTAAAAAAAAAAAAAAATCTAAACTTATGCATTAACAAATTTAACAATTTTCTCTCTCATTTTAATCTGTTGTACATTGGGCTAGCTTGGTCCATGGGCTTTCTATTCAGGTAAGAACCCTAAAAAGCCGAAACCCAAGTGCAAGTCAAGGGAAGCACATTTGTTTAACTACGGTATTTATCGATTAAATAATTTAATGAAAATAAGAACATACTCCTTTTTATAATAATATAAATACATTCTCTACAATTAGCATTAAAATACTAAAACCTCAAAAATGAAAAAAAAATAATTATAATAATTTCTTTATATATGATCAAAGAGAGCTACACATATGTGACAGCGCGTCATCACTATCACATGACAATATATAAAAATATTCACATGTCATTAGATTTTCTGTTATATATTTTATCAACATCAATACTCTTATCATTACAATCACATCATTGCCACCTAATTCAATGGCTAACAATCTATATGGTAACAAACAAAAATAAGAAATATGGCATGCATAATTTTAACTAGGATACCAAGCTGCTACACTTGTCATGGGCACCAAAATTACCCCAAGAGATCCACCAAAACTGATCAGTTGAGAAAAGCATCAACCAAAATTAAGGAAGAAAATTCCACACCATACCAAGTGCAATGACCAGATCATATTGTACAATACAGGGATGATCAAATCAAAGCTTTCACATCTTCATCAAGCATTTCCTTATTCTCCATGTATTAAAGATGGAATCTTAACGCCTTGCCACTATGATATAATCTATTCCCACAAGTCGTAAACGTTCCTCTTTTTTTTTTTTTTTTGGGTGATAATCACATTCCTTGAAAAATAAGTAATTCCTATTTTTATGTTCTTGTGGTCAAAATGGTGTAGAATGTACTTTTCATTTAGTATTTTACAAGAAGTTACACGTTATTCACCATTAGACTCTTCGTAATTCCTTCGTCTTTGTTCAATGTATATTCTGCTTCAAACATCTTTATTCATATAATATATACGTATGCATGTATATAATATGTAAACTCTATATATCTTGGTAGCATGTGCAAACGGAAATGATGGAGAGGCAATTTGTTGAATGATCTTTTAAGGATTCAGACCAATTTAATATCATTTAAGTCCATATACAGGTGGAATTAGTTATACTTTAAAAAAAAAAAAAAAACGCAGTGGAGCTAAGACAACTCATTCATATGACTTGATCGGAAAAAGGAATCAGACGGCACATGAATATGCCAAATAAAGAAAAAAACTATAAACACCGCCAAATCCATACAAATCATTGAAGAAAATAATAGTAAATTGAAAGCAAATATACAGGAAATTATAAATACTTCATTCAACAATGATAGCATGTGCCTTAGTGTTTAAAGACTACATAGTATAATATCAATAATAAAAGTAATAAAACAATGAAAGGGGAAACAGAATAATATCAGGAATATATATATATATATATATATATATTTTTTTTTTTGTGTGTGTGCAAAGATTTCTAAGTTCAAATGATTCGGGATCAATATTAACGACAACCAAAAGAATGGCGTGAACAATATATTTTTCATATTACAATTTCCACCAAACATCATATTTAGGTTAGATTACACCCCAAACATCATAATGGAGGTCAAAATGCATGTCACCACTCTACTCTAGCCACCAAATTCTTCCCAACACACCCGCAAACTTTCTAACTAGAGATCTCTCCTCCATGTTTAATATTAAAGAGGAGAAAACCCAAAAAAAAAAAAAAAAAGAAAGAAGATATCTGCAAAAGAGGAAATTAACCCTGTTACACCAGAAAATCAGGCCCCAAAAAAAAAAAATAATAAATAAAAAAGCCGGGATGATAGCTAAAAAGATAAGGCTCACAATTATTTACTCTTCAATGAATGAACTTCCAGCTGCAAAACCACCAAGAACACCAAGATTAATAATATTTAAATGAAACCAATGGTACAGAAGATAAAACATTAATCTTAAGCACCAAGTCTTGTCTTAAGCAGACAGATTAAGGACACAAAATATACAATCTTGTCAATGAATATCTTCCTTTACACAATCTTTGCAATGTTGTTGAAAAAACTAGATTAAGTTCAATTCAGACTCCCCTCTTAACATGGTTTCCTAAAACAAGATTGCCAAAAGAGCTAGTTCTCTAACATACAGTTTGAAAAGAGAAAAAAAAAAAAAAAAAGATGAAGAAAAAGAAGTAGAAAAAAAAAAAACTCTTTCCTGAGTTCTTCAGGTGTCTTCGTAAAACAGAACTACAAGCATCTTCCTCAACAGACAATGTTGTTCATCAAGAGGGTCTAAAACAGGACACATTTACGTGAAATTTTGGAAATTCCATTCAAAACATGGTAAGAAAAAGGAAAGGGTCTAATTACTTACCTGAGCTATCATCAGGACAAGGCTTGTGATGATGATTTTCCATGCACTTGAGGAGGTACTTGAAGGTCTCGATCTCGCAAGGGATGGTGAGCCCGCCGCCATGATCAAATCCAAACTCCTCCTCGGCCTTCTCCAACAACACCTTGAACAAAGAGTGGCTAAGATAGCTGGTGGGAATTATGAACCTCCGAAGCTCAGGCCCAACATAGACAGCCAAATACCCCTTCGGGACATCAGGCGGCGGCCCAGGGCTTTGGCAGCTGTCCTCATCGGAGTCGCAGCAAATCACCTCCGTTAGCCTCTTGTTGATCGGTGGAGGAATCCCCCCTGGAGCTCCTTCAGCATCGGGTTCATTTTCGGGCTTTGTAGGAGTTAGTGTGACGGATTGCCACTTTTGGAGGATTTCCTTAATCCTCATAATCTGTCTTATTCCGGTCAACTTGGTGCTAATGTTGTCATCCATTGCTAAAATATGAGAATCCCAGTACAGAATTCAAAGTAGTCTCTTCTAATTCCGCAATAAGAAGAAGAAAAAAAAGTCTCATTAGATCTACTTCCACTAAATTCAGAATTTTCCAATTTTTGGATGAATGTGAAATAGAAACGTTTCGATTTCACTTAGATTTTAACATTACTTTTTGCCTACATTTTCAACAAATTCCTTTATTTATTTATATTTTCAGAGATCAACATGCATTCCCAGATTCAACAAGTTATGAGAATCCCAGGACAGAGTTCAATCTTCTGATTCCACAAGGAAAAAATAAATAAAGTCTCATTAGATCCTCTTCCACTAAATTCTAAAACAAATTTTGGATGAATTTGAAATAGAAACTTTTCAACTCCCCTCGGATTCCAGCTTTACTTTTTGCCTGCATTTCAACATTTTTTTTTTTTTAAATTTGAAAATCATTGTGTAAATTATCCAAACATAAACCTCAAACTAAGATCACATGTAACATCAAAAAAGAATTAACCCTTTAGATCTCCAAACACATTACATATGAATTTGTTTTGCATATTGCAAAATCCCCATACCCGATAAAGAAAAAATGTCATACTAAACCAGAGAATTCAAAGCCAAAAAAAAGGTACAAATATGAACAAAAAAAAAATATATGGCGTACTTAAATATTTTCGTTTGTGCCAAACAGTACCTGAAGAGGGATGACGTCAGCTGCGAGACCGAAGAAGAAACGCCATGGGAGCTTCGGAAGCGAGCTCTCCAAAAAATTGGAAGAGAATCTCGACCACCTCTGGTTTTTTTTTTTTTTTCTTTTCTTTTCTTTTCTTTTTCTTTTTGGGTTTATAATTTTCTATTTCCAATCACTATATCTAAAATATCTAAAAATACGATTCCTCCAAAACCCAATTTCGGATACGGATGATGAAGGGGGTTTTGGTACCCCACCAAATCTCGGAGGAAATTTTTTCTCTTTCTAGCTCGCGGGACCGACGCTTTCGGCGGGCTTTATTTTTCTCGGTAACCAAAAGGAAAACAGAAACAATGGTTTCTGTCGCGCGAGTTAGTTTTTTCAACGATCCCAAATTGTAAAAGAAAAAAAAAACACACACACACACACACACAAAATTGTGAACTTTTTTTTTCTTCCTTTTTGGGAGGCGAAATTTGATTAATGATGTTTGGTGCTTGTGAATTGTAAGAGAGAGATAAGAGCAGAGGAAATGAAGACAGAAGCTTAGAACGTGTCGTTTGTGTTATAACAATTACAAAAGTTCTAAAAACAAAATAAAAATAAAATACGATTTCCAAAAAAAATTAAAATTAAATACAAAAAATAAAGAGAAAAGGGGAAATCAAAAATGCTTTTTTTTTTTTTTCAGTTTGGACTGCTACCTGGAACCCACGTGCTTCAACGGAATCTTTGTGGGCCTGGCACTTTTTCCGCCTGAAGCCACACTGCTTTCATACCTTTCTATTAAGAATAATTTACATAAATAGTGTCTAATTTTTTAAAAAGAGACAGTTTAATTGCTAATCTTCTTTTTAATAAAAGGACCCTCAACTTTTTTAAATATGTGTTATATGATCTTTTTCGTCGAGATCTGTTAAAAAATTAACAGGATAAAGCATGTGACGCCTTATGCGACTCTTTTTTATGTTGGACGAACAAAATTGCCATCAAATTGATTTAAGGATACTACTACTTCTCTACTGCATTGCTTTGTCCAAAACGTGTCTTTGTTTCAAACACAGAACAAGGCAAGGCAACAATAAAAATAAAATTAAAAATAAAAACAGAAGAAGAAGAAGAAGAAGAAGAAGAAGAAGAAGAAGAAGATGATGATGAGAAGATTGAATAAATAAATAAAATACCCTCCAAAACATATCATTACCATTTACACAGACAAATCCACAGAGCTCAGAGACGGATTCGCCGGAGATAATAATGGCTGTCGAACTCTTCGGCAATAATAATGGCAGTCGAACTCTTCGGCGACGGCAACGACCGCACGCCGGAGCTGTTGAAGCTCGTTAACGATGTCTTTTTTTTTAACCCTCGAACTTTGCATGACATACAAATTTCATAGTGTTTCAAAGGATAACGGATGACATTTTTCTTCGAGGGCTCATTTTTAAATAGGCCCGCCACTAATAAGGCAGAGAAGGAGAAGTGCTCTTCGGTCTGCCTCTATTTTAATATTATTTTTAATCATACTAGTCTTTATGCAGACGAACGAGATTTATTTAAAATAATCGTTATACAAATTGTTTTTTACGGAAAAAAGAGAAAGAAGGAAAAAAATGACATAAATAAAAGAAATGAAGATAAAAGTGGAAAAAAATTGAATCAAAATATAGGAAAAATTGTAACTTATTTTGTTGTGTTTTAAATTAACTCTATTTTATTTTGTTTAATTTTTTTATTTAATTTAGAGTGATTTGATTTTAATGCAATTATCTTTAATTTTATTTTATATTTCAATTACTTATAGAATTTTTATCTGAGAAGCATCGAAAAAGGAGAGAGAAGTAAAAAAAAAACGATACAAAAGAAATGGAAAGGAAAATTGGAAAAAGATTTGAAGCTAACACAGAAAAAAGAGATTTTAACTTATTTCGTTGTGTTTTCAATCAGTTTTATTTTTTTCAATTTTCTTTAATATGGTATGATTTTATTTTATTTTAGTCACTGTATTTTCTTAAAATTTTCATTCGAAGTATTCATAGCATTTTCATTTGAGTAATATAAAAAATTTAGTGTAAAATGATGGTAAAACGGACAAAATTAGATGACAAATAAGCTTAAAATTAATAAACAAATATAATAAATAATATTAATAAAAAATAATACCTAATTTTTTTATGGTCATTGGATCAGTCTGATGAACGGCTTAGATTAGTGCATGCATTAGATCATCTTCAATGTAAATGCTAATGTCAATTGTATATTTAGGATCAAAAACTATGATATGGTTCTTTTCATTTTTGCTCCAATGTTTAATGTTATTTGAAATGCTAAATTTACTTTTTTCTATAATTATTAAGCTTCGTAAGTTGTAAAAGTAAACCTAAATTTTTAAAATAATTAGAAAATGTAAAAGTTGCATTGATTACATAGGAAAAATAAACATTTCAACCACTAGTAATCAAATGTTAAATTTTTCAATGCTATACTTTGTGAGAAACTTACCACAAAGTATAGCACATAGAAAATTTGTGTAACGACCTGAATTTTAGACCGCTACTTAGCTTAATTAAGACCTTAAATATTATATGTAAGTATTATATATGAGAAAATAATATTTAAGGATCATAATCAAAACGATGTTTATAATGAATTTAATTAAAGTTCAAAATCTTTAATTAAAATATTACTAATACATGTCATTCTCATTTAGAATGGAATGGTGTTATCCACACTGTTAATATGACAAGATATTTAATGAATGTGTTATGCATAATAACATTGTGTGGAATAAGAACACAGACACAATATAAATTTTTGATAATTTTTGTTTAACATAAAAATTTTAATTGAGTCTACCGATGGTCATATATAGAACGATCTTTCATATGTAGAACGATCTTAGTCCAAAATTATTAGCAGACTCCTATTTGTGGATTTATGTCATTTGACTTACTCGGTACGGATTTTGAGATTACTAAATCCTATTGCTTGTATCTTAAAGACATGATGAAGTGAGTAGTTGGGAATGTTAAAATACGAGATGCAATCCATTCGTTCTTGAGAAAGAAGCAGATAAATAATTCTCTTAATAATTGATTTGACACTTAGACTAGTAGGAGCTCTGATTCATGAATTTATTTTTTGAATCACTGACCATTAGAGAATCAATGGTACTCAACCATAAAGATGTAATTAGAGAGGTTAACGGATTCTACCTAACTCTAATTGTGAATTATTTATGGAGGATTGATCTATATGTAATGGTTATATCAAATGGATACTTCACAGTTTAGAAGTAAATTATATCCATAATTACGAGAGTGCAATTCCAAGTTTATAGTGGAGTAATTTTTGGAATTAATAGAATTAATTAATTAATTAATTAATTAATTAAAGAGTTTTAATTAATTATTAATTTTATCAGAGCTCAGGATTATAGGTCCATGAGTCCCCGCATCATCCTTGTAATCTTTCAAGACACTAAGGGTAAATTAGCAATTTTAGAATTATGAAATTCTAAATGCAACGCTCAAGAATAATTAATTGAGAATTAATTATAAATTAAATAATGTGATTATTAAATTTGAATTTTAGAACACACATGTGGAGTAGTCCACATGGTGTACACACGCTGCACTGTGAGAATCCCTTTGGGATTCAGTTGTTTGCTCTCTAAGTTATCCGATTAACTTATTTAATAAGTTATCCAATTGGAATTCAAATTAAATTAAGTTTAACTTTAATTGAAATTTAAATTTTAGTCAAAATTAGACTATAGGATAAATAAAACATTTTTCTCCTTCCCTATCTATAATGTGCGCCAACTACAGGGGAAATATCATTGTGGTGGTTGGCCTAATAGGATAAGAGAGAGAGGAGATTTTGGCTATGTATGGAGTTGGTTTTGTTTTTATTTTTCACATTTTTTGAGAAAGAAAAAATGAAAACAGGAGAGAAACGGCGTTTGACACAATTAAAGACAAAACCCGAAAATGAAAATGATTTTTTACTTTAGTGTAAAATGGGAGAGAAATGAAAAATGACTTTTAGTCATTTTTCAGTTTTTGTTTCCATTTTCTCTTCTCTCGAACACATAGAGAGAGAGAGACATTAATGGATTTTCTATACTGAAAGCAATCTCTTAATAAAACTACCAAATGTATTTTCAAAAATGATTTATGTCTGAGATTGATTTCATACAAAAAATAAAATCATTTTAGAATGAGTTCCAAACGCACCATTTGTTTCCAAAATAAAATAAGAGTGGGAGATAATTATCAAGCTTTATCTTGGAGATAAATTTTAAACTTCTTCTGGGAGTTTGAAAACTACTCTATAAATAACAGATTGCAGAAAATTAGAGAATACAATTTTTTCTCTCCCTAGCATATAGCGACCGATTTTATAGAGTGGGTAAAAGGAAAATTTTCTCCCTAATTCCACGTCATGCATGAGTGGGTGCTCATGAAAAACTTGAGTGTTTGAGTGCTAATCCCGTTTTGTTTCAAGTGTGCCCACACACACGTCAAAGAATTGACGAGGAAGATTTGGATATTCTAAACAAGCTTGGAGCGAGGAACGTTCATGGTCAAAGAACTCAAGTTATCGACCTAATCACTCACTAAGTAAATTTATTCATAAATTAATTTGATTCATTTATTTGTGAATAAATTAATGTAATCTATAGAGTCTCTCAAAGGTTTATTAATTTTTTTTGTTATACACGATCCGCTAGATACATGCTTCCGCATAAAAAATTGTAACATAAATAACTATTAAAATTCTTTTTTTTAAAAATGTTAAGAAAAGACATTATGGGACATGAAGATTACCCAATTAATTAGACTAAGTCCAAATAAATAAACTTTTAAAACTTATACTAGTTTTTATAGTGCGGTAAAATACTTTAGTGCAGAAAAACATAATGCGTAGTCATATCCAAACCCTTGCTCCCATCGTTCTATGCTAGCTAGCCAATCCATCAAGTATTTATAGTGCGAGAATTATCCTAAATTGTCTACAGTATGAATAACTTAGTGTGCTAGAGTTTAGTGAGTACAAATATTTCCCACAAAATATTTTTCATAGAATAAACTCATCCATTTAAATTACATATACAATCATCCACTAAAATGCATGTCCATTTATGCTTTATTATGAAATATCCATTTGTTGTTTATTATAGAATGTCCATTTGTTACTATTGGGCCCTGTGCTCGTACCCATATGCGCGATCATGAGGAGTCTGGGGAACAACCCAAACCTTTGGTCTGACTATTGCAAGATCTAAATCAATTCCATTGTTGACCTTCCTTTTGGAATCGAATGATAATTAACCTCTCTTTTGACTCCGGAGATCTAGTATTGTGACGACCCTATTGAGTGGCTGTCACTAAAACTAACTTTAACATATACTTTCTGAAACTCCCTAAAATTTGAGAGACATTTTTTTTAAAATGCTATATAGAATGTTGTAGCATTTTCTTTTTAAAAAAAAAAATAAAATGCTATAATAAATGTTGTAATATTCTGAAACAAAATGCTATA